TTATATATAGACGGGTTTTACGGATTTGAGGCCGGGCCGGATCGGGTCGGGTTAGCTCGTTTGACATGCCTAACAAGAGAGCTACGTGTTTTCTTAAGAGTTAAGATAATACACTAATAATGATATTAATTTGTTATATAACATGCCAGGTGAGTTGCTAAGACCGATCTTTTTTATGGATAAAGTTTTGAAATTAATTCACTTTCACCACTTGGATCAAATTTCTCCTACACTTAGCATCAGAAATACAATTAGGTCAAATTCTTAGGATACATGGCCAATCTACTCTTTTTCAAGTGAATGTAATTTTTATGTTATTTCCAACTTTTATTATTATATGTTGAGAGTGTCTAGAATGAGAAGAATATTATTACTCTCATAAGATGAAATGTATAGGAAAATACATAAATATAGAAATATAGTGGAAGAAATGTTTTAACATTATAAAAAAATTGTTTAACATTATATTAGATCCGCTTACACTTATATATATATATCAAAATATAAAATGAACTAAACTTTGGCATTTGGCAATATTGTATACGCTACCTTATGAAAATTATATAGAAGTACGTAACTTGCTAACATTTTAATTGTATTGATAATTGTATTGCCCTGCAGTGAATTCCCCCCCACAACTTAAAATGAATCCGTTATCCATATATACATATAGAGAGCAGATAGAAAAGAAGTTATGGTATTATATAATTCATAAATTTATAATGACAAAGCAAGTTTGATTGATAAGAGATATCAGCAGTGTCGNAACAGAATACTCGTGAACATTAAATACGAGATACGTAGTGAATTTCTTTTGTTTTGTTTTGGGGGCGATGCTTTGATAAATATGTTTCTGAGTATTTTATCTACAATGAATGAAACCTTTTTATTTATTTGCGTTTTAAGAAACAAAAACAATAATAAATGCAAAGTGAAACCCCAACACGAGAAGGGGTCAGGTGTGTTTCAGTCTATCTAATCCCGCAAACTTTGGGGTCTAATCTCTTCTACGATCCCTTACGTGTTGTCATCTCCTTGATTTGTAATTACCCCTATGCCCTAATTACAACGTATAGATCTTTTGTTTTCGGGTAAAGAAAACCAGAAACCCGTTAAAAGAAACATCTCTCATGTTGAGACTTTATTCGTTTGATGTATATACTAAACATCTAAAAACTAATTGTAGATACATCAAACTAATTTTTTTGAGGAAATGCAAATTAAAGACTAAATCATAACCATATAATACGATCTTAAACAAAATGTGTATATATACACTATTGGGGATTATAAATTAACCAAATACTATCGTCTTGGACATCTTGTAGCTTGCTTGATAAACAGCGAACAGAAGGAATAAAAAAAAAAGGACAAAACAAGGCCGTTTGTAAAAAATAAAAATAAAAATGAAATAGAAATTGAGCCGATAAGAAAACTGTAGTGGTGAAAAGTTAGCCAATGAGGAGACGACAGGTCAAATCGAGACTGCCATTTCAGTCTGATTTATTTGACTGTCTATCTCTCTCCTTCTCAGTCCCTCAGTTTCCTCTTACCTTTTCTTTGTCCTTTCTCTCATTTTATTAATTTAATTTT